CCCCCTTTCCCCAGTGCTGAAAAATACAGTTCTACGCACAAGTGAAGTGTAAACAGATGCTTACTGACAGAGAACACATGAGCTTTTACAGCTCGATAAATGTAATTATCTAGGATTTTAAAAAAGAGGTTTGATACTTATGAGCAATCTTAAATTGGAAGACACGCATTTGAGAAGACAAACTCAATAAGCGACTGTTAGATATTACATTAATTAATTATGAAGCACAAGTTGGCATATACACTAAGCCGCAGCCACTAGCAAACCTGTCGAGTGTTCAACTAAGTGAAAATCGCTAATGCATATTGATATTATTACTGTGTACAACTTGCAGATGATAACTGTGACCCAGCTTGGTCCAAGTTGCTGCCTCTCACATATAATTAATGTTCCATTAAGACTGCATTAAGGCTTTCAACCCATATGTCAACATCCAAAAGCAGATGGCATAGTCAATATACAGAACCTGACTAAGCAGCCGTCTGCTCCTTTCCAGTCTGATGTTACATTTACTAAACACATAATATCCAAACATTTGAATGTTTTCTCCTGCTCTCCCTGCACTTATCATTTTTTTCTCTTCCTACGTCTTATTTAATTCCTTCAACTCTAAAATGGAGACTTTTTATGCCTTGCTTCCATTATGTCAAAACTCCACCCCAATCTGGTTGGAAACAGGAAACCTTTGCTTAAAAGGGAACCCATGGCCAGGCTAAACACACTCAAGTAAATGGACTTTAAAACAAACTATCTTGTAGCTGCAGGCAATGTGGAGTAATCAATACTCAAATTCATAACACAGGCAATGAATGTATAGCTCCTCTTTCTCTGGCAGCAGGAACTCGCCAGCCAGACAGCCTGATGTAAACAAACATCAGGTGACCTAAGCTATTCAGAAACCAACCTCAACTTAAATTAAGAGTCTCTATTTTGAGGATGAATTACTCTGCAATGCTTGATGCTACAAAGCACTACACAGTCACCTATCTAGAAGTCTTCTGGGTGGGCACTTATAGACATGTGTATTTACTCCTATGAAAAAGCTCTCCATTGTTTGGACATATAATAAATGGCTTTAGACAGGAATGACTAGAGATTAGAACTTTTGCCACTTTAACCCCTCTCTTCTTTACTCTGCAACAGACTACTTTTATGACAAAGTAACAAGCCTTTCTTGCCCTGACCTTGGCATCTCTCTCTACAATAGTGCATTTGCCCCCCTCACCACTCATAGAATCAGGCCCCATCCACTACAGCCGTGGCAGACAGATGGCATAGTTGTGCTCTTGAGTGACTATGGCGTAAATCCAAATCCCTGCAAGACATCACACTAGGGATGTCCCGATACCACTTTTTGAAGACCAAGTACAAGGACAGTCCCTCAGGTACTTACCGATACTTTTGTTAAAGGGACATGTGACATTTTTTCTAAAACAATACAGACTAATGATTTTAGAGCACTTTCTTGCGGATCATGTTCATAATATTTCCCACATGCAAACTAATGTCTCAGTCATTGCTTCATATCAGCAATACTTTGGGGTCTATTCACAAAGCTGCCGAGGGCAGCCGAGTGAATGACCGATCAGAAGTGAAGTGAGCCGAACACTGTTCGGCTATTCACTTCAGGCTGGTACGGCTCATTTCAGCCGTATATCGGCTGAAATCAGCCGTACATCGGCTTGCTTGGCTCCGCCCAGCTGTCAGAAGCAGGCTGTCGGCCGGCCAATGGCCGGCCGATCGGCCAGCTTCGTCTTTCAGCACGGCTCAGCGCTCGACTGAGCCGCTCGGCCGTGATCGGGAGCTGTACGGGCTATTGTGAATAGCCCGTACAGCACCCCCTCGGTTCTCCTGAACCGAAGGGGTCCTGGTGCCGAAGCTAGCCGAAGGATCGGCCGAAGCTACGGCCAGATCCTTCGGTAGCTTTGTGAATAGACCCCTATGTATAACTTCAGTTTTAATTGGGGGAAGTGGGACAGATTGGAAGTAGCAGGGGAGAATTGTTACTCTATTTCTGCAACCTGATCATTTAAAGAGTTATAATTCTCCCCTGCTAACTTGAATAGGTTAAATCAAATGATCCATAGTACACAGTACAAACTTGCAGTACACTGCAGAAATAGTTACAATTCTACCCAGCTAACATGAATATGTTAACATTTTACCTATTCAAGTTAGCAGGGAAGAATTGTATTTCTGCAGTGCACTGCAAGTGTGTACTGTGTACTATGGATCATTTAACGGTTAAATGATCCAAAGTACACAGTTCCAGTACACTGCAGAAATTAGAGTTACATGTCTTCCCTGCTTCTTCCAATCTATCCCACCTTCCCGTATCATACCCGTAGCCAGCCCTGTCACAGCTTCCCTCACCGCATACAAAAGCAAAACATGCAAAAGCAATTCACAGGAGCGCTGCGCTGTGTAGGAGTCCGTTGTCTGGTCTCACGTTGCTCTTTGTTTGTCGGTGCTGTGCGAGAGTGTCATCCCCCGTCGCTTTCGTGGCTGTGTCTCTTGTGGGAGGAGCTTCTGTAAGGTCCTCGTTTAGCTGCCTGGCAGGCTGCCCAGAGGACTACAACAAGCGCGGTACCTCTGGGCAGCCTGAAACTATTTTAAAAATGAAAGTGCCTGCATCGGCGCTATGTATCGGGGCATTTTCACAA